GAAGAAACAACTTTTAGAACAGATGACTTTATTTCATTCAAGTAATGGAAAACAAGGAAACTACTTTCCTGGAATGTTTTTATTTACTGTAACATGAATAATCCAAGTTCTTTATGGAAAGAATACAAAAAAAAAAAACAAGAAAAACAGAGTGTCATAGAGAATATGCTTTTCTTTATTTTCTCATTATAATTAGACTATCTTTTCTTATCTAAAACTACAGATTTATTTATGACTTTGAATATCTGGAAATTATTCCTTGACAACCTGTTCCATTATATATTCAACTATTTATTTAACGTGCCTTTATTAGAACAAAATATTTACTCTTCCGTATTATAAACAATACATACATAAACATACACTGTAATGAATATGCTTAATTATGCACTTGAAAAATTAGTCATGATGAATTTCTGATAGAACTAGTTTTATTCAAAAGTCAGAGGAGTTTGTAAGGCTTTTCATTCACATGCTAATTACTATCCCTCAAAGTTAGGCCCATATTCATTACCACTAACAATAAATGAAAATGTTCCTATCCTTATTCCTCATTGGGACTCAGTATTATCATTTTTTACCTTTTGTTGCCTTAAAATATCTAAAAATGATTCTCATTATCTTTCCACTTCCAATTATTTTATTACCAAAGCTTTTATTTACTAAAAGTTTAATAATTGGCTATGTTTCTTCTCAATTATAATGAGGGGATTTGTCTACTTGCACTCAGATCATATTCTCCATCAAGATATTCAGGATGCTTGTGTTACTCTTTCATACTTAGGTAATTATAAAGTGTTGTTGGTGGTTGTGGTTTGGATATGAGATGTCTCTCAAATGTTCCTATGTTAATGCATGAGTATTCAAAGGTAAATTAATTGGAGTATGCAAGCTATAAACTATTTGCCTATTCTAGTTTGAGTGGATTAACAGGGTGGTAACTGTAGGCAGGTAAGGGATGGATAGAGAAGGTGGAAATTTGGGGTGTGCCCTAAAAAGGTACAACTTCCCTGTGGCTCCTTCTCTCACCCTGTCTGCTTCCTGACCATCATAAGTGGAGCAATACTGCTCCACCATGCCCTTCCACCATGATGTTCTGCCTCACCTTGGGCCCAAAGCAATGGAGTCAGCATATTATGGACTAAATCTCTGAAACCTTGAGCCAAAATAAACTCTCCCTCCTCTAATTTGTTCTTGTCAGGTATTTTGGTCACAGCAATGCAAGGCTGACTAACACAGTTGTCATGTATCTTAGATACATCCTTTTCTCAGTTTGTCATTTGCCTTTGAACTATGTTTTTTTTTTGTTTTTATGATAGGAATTTTTTATAAGACTGGTTAATAGTTTCCTTAACCCGGAGTCAAGTGTTCTTCTACCTGCCATATGTAGGCTTGGTCAAGTTAACTGTCTACATACTAATTTTCTCATCTGTAAATTAAGGAAGATATTAGTGCCTATCTCACAGACACATTGCCAGGATCAACTGTATTATAACATATTCGAATTAGACCTAATAGGTAAATGCTATGTAAAGTCTAGGACATAATAAACTCTTCAGTCTATTTAAATAGAGTACCTTCTGTCTCACTGTTTTTTTTTTTTTTACATTATCTCTGTAGTCTAGAATAGTTCGAGATTTTTCAGCATATAACCAATTTTATCATCTCTATTATGTGTACTTATTCATTCCAACGTGGGATGTAATCAAGACATTTCATAGGTAATTTTCTAGCAGTTCTTCCTTGTTCCTTCATTCTCTATCTTAACTCTATATTTTAACTCTGTATTTTACCATATTCTCTCCATTTTTGTTATACTGCTGTTATTGAATTTTCCTGAGGTATGAAAATATTCTATTCCAGCAATACACTATTTTCAGAGGCATCCATCTCTTTTTAGACGTAAGGGTAAGATACTATTTTATTTCCTTTATATAGTACTTTCCTCCTCAGCTTCCCATTTTTAGTTACTCTGTTTTCTTTATTTACACTTTTTCTTGAATAAAGTCAGTTCAGCCCAGACAAAAACTAGTGTTTGCTTTTAGGATTGCTCTTATCTCTTCTTCATATGCCTTTAGGTTTTGTTTGAATCTCTTTCTCAGTATTACTGCCCAAGTTCTCTGTTTTTGGAAACTAATCTTCTATTGTCATTCTTACCTATTTTATATCTCCATATCTGTTATGTGGTACTCCGATGTTCTGAACTGTTGCAAACAGTTTTCCAAATTCTAAATAAACTATTACCAAGGATTTCCCTGTCTCTATCATACCAAGAGTGTTTCAATTATGGTGATGTCAATTGTTTGAACACAGCATGCCACAGTCACATCTATCCCTACTTTAGCAAACTGTACCAAGTGTTTCCTTACCAGTTATACCCTGGAAGTTTCTATATTTGGATTTAGAAATATGACAAAGGAAAAGAAAAGAAAGAGAATAGATGTGTTGTAGCATGTTTTATAGATGGGGAGAGTCCTTAAAATATCTGAAAGCAGAGGGGAAAGAGAGAAGAGTGAGTTCATTGTGGGTAAAGGAAGACCAGTCTGATAAACTAGGCTGAGCACTCAGTAGAAATGGCCTGGTACGCCAGGGCTTCACTTACATGTATAGCATTGGTCACATGGAATCATGGAAGATGTTAACCAAAGGAATATCATAAGTTTTAACAGTGATTACCCTGCTGGAACCATAGGTAGAGGAAAAACAGAGTCTAGAGTCAGTGAACTAAATTTCAAAGTGATGAAGGCCAGAATAAAGATTTCACATAGTGGTACAAAAAAAAAAAAAAAAAAAGAATATGAATTTCAAAAACAATTTGTAGGTGTTCAAGGTTAAAGAGGCACCTAAAAGAAAAGCTTCAACTGCATATTCTCCCAACTTCAAGCTAAAACAACATATAGAACACAGGAATCTAAATAAATAAATACATGAACTCCCAGACCTCTACCAATAAAGGAGATCGAGTGACGAATCAGAATCATTTCATTCTGACCCGAGGAGTGGGGCCTCACAAAAGCACAGCCATTCGAAGGAGGAAGTTGGCAGCAGAAAGCATTAAAGGAGAGCAAGTTGCAGGGCAATGGGGAAAGCTGTGAATGCAGAGAAAAAGACAAGTGCAGTGTCTGTCACTGCCAGACCCCAGGGATCCTTAGAGAGAGAGCATAATGGACTTCAAAGTTCTAAGCAGTGTCTGGCCCAAACTAAAATTTAATATTCCCTGAAAAGTTGTTTTACTGGAACCAAAATGTGGTATGTGTGCATTTAATAAAAGATGAACAATGCAAAGACCTTATCGAGAATGTAGTGTGGGGACATTTGTAGAGAAATCACAAAAGAATAAGCATGATCCATTAACATAGTTTTAGTAGGTTCTCTATTTGGATTATTATATTATGACAAGGCCCATATAAAAATTGACAAACTAATTTTCATCTGATAATTCCAGAAGTAGACTGAATATGTATCTTTTCATGTGAAATTTTAAGAAGATAATTTATACTTGACCTTTTGATCACAACAATTTTCAGGCATTCTTAGAAAGCCAATCAGACCTTCAGATCAAATCTACACACGCAAACACATTCTTTATTTCTCATTAAAATTATCTTTCATCATAAGACCCTGTAAGGCACCAATTTCTCAAGTTATTTCATGATCTGAGTAAACTTTCCCCCTTGAAAGCACAGGACCCAGGTACCTTTTTTAGCAGTCATTCTTCCAAAGAGAGATGCCAACTATTCTGGGTTGCCAGATGCTTTGAAGTTATTATTCTTAAATGGAGTATAGAGGGCGTAGGCGAATAAGAGGGCATTTTAAAAATCTATCTTAAACATCCAATTCTTTAAGCTCTGTTCTGGCTCCTCATCTTCTAACTAGGACTGTCCCCTGCAAGTGAAGCAGGCTTTCATCTAATTCTAGCTGAAACTTGACAGTCTCATTAGTTTTTGATGACATTTCCTGTTCCTTCCATCATTGAGGCTTTTTGCATGACAGACACTGTCTGGCTTGGGCCCTGAAGTTTTCTTCAGAACTTCAGCCCTCTGGTTTCCAGATGGGAATTCTTTTATATGCACATCAGTTCTCGCCCAATTGATCTGTATGAGGTATTTCTTTTGTCCTGCTTAACTATTTTCATGCTCAATATCACGACTGGTACTCCCTGGAAATAATCTCTCCTATTGTCCTCCTATTGGGCTCTACAATGAGTCATGAGGAGGAAATGAAGGCGACAAAGCTTCCCTCCACTGACTCACATGATTTCAGAGACATTTCTGCAAAAGAATGTGGTGCAAGAAAGAATTTTAATAGCCTCCCCATTCTTCCTCTCTGTTTCCTATGTGGAGCTTTTCTATGAAAGTGACTTTCTGTGCCAGGGTTTAAGGGATTAATTCAAAGTTCTGAGGGAAGAAGGAATTTGCAATTCAGTAGCAGCTTAGATGAACAACTATGACTCAGGGCATCCAAAACAGTCAAGATGTCAACTGGAGCTTCCATCATCTGGGACTTTCACTGGGGTTGGAGGATTTCCCAAGGTGTCTCAGGACCAGGAAGTTAATGCTGGCTCTTGGTAGGAAGTCTCAGTTCCTTTCCATGTGTGCATCTAAATTGGGCTACTTGAGAGTACTCATGAGATGATGAATGGCTTCCCCAGAGGGAGGAATCCCAGAGACTGAGGCAGATGCTACCCTGGCTTTATGAGGCCAGGAGGAAGTTTTACTTCCACTTATGACTTAGAATCTGAAGTCTCACATCATCGCTTCCGTCATAACTTAGATCACATAGGCCAGATGTGACTCAGTGTGGGAAGGAACTCCAAAAGGGCATAAATACCTGCAGGTAAGGATAACAAGAGTACTCATATTGGAGACTGATAATCACCACTATCTAGCAATGGGCCTAGCATATAGAAATCTTCATCAAATGATAGTTTTTTTTGATTGACATAAAAATCATTTTGTTTATAGCCCATGAGTTTACAATGTGCTCCTAACTTTCTCCCTTCATTTGTTCTTCCTGTAAATGTTCCCTCCTTTATAAAATCCCAAAATGAATATTTCTAAAATGTTGCTTTCTTCCTCTCTTTGTTAAGCTACAGATGGAATTGGCCAGTCACCAGATCTTAGCTGTCAGATGTTGTCAAATTTGGGAGGATTTCTATGAAGCTCCTGTTAAATGTAGGATAATAAGCTTTTTATTTTATTCAGTTACCTAAAATGCAACTTTGAAGATCGTTGGCTCTTCAGCACAAAATTATTTTTGGAAAAAGTCTAAAACAAATCAACTAAATTGACAACGTGGATACTCTATGTCTTAATATATTTGATGTGTGCAAATTTCTGGAAGTAACTCAAATAATGCTGTTTAGTCAAAACAGAGAAGAGACTTATTTATAATAATACAAAGACTTTTTTGGGGGGGGGGCAATGCTGGGGATCAAACCAGGGCCTTGAGCATACAAGGCAATGGTTCTATCACTGTACTACATCACCAGAAATTCTAAGATCTTATCTTTTATTTCTATTAGCTTTTAATTTTGAATTTACTCTTATTCACTATACTAAGAGGAACAATTAGAACAGGTTAGATAAATATAAGAACAGATTATTTAGATATATACATATCTGGGTTTATACACATTATATATCTCATATATATATAAATTTAAGTTTACTTATGAATATGTATTTTGCTACATGATGATATATAGTATCAGATGTTCTGGGAATTTATTTCCAACTAGATAATTATTTGATGAAAATATCTCTTAGGAAAAGATAGATATCTTTTAGCTACTTCTCATGCTCTGTCAACCATGGAGTTATTTCTATCTTTTGACCCAAGTCAGTTCAAAGGTTTGCTCCTCCATGAAGTCTTCCATGGTTACTGCTATCTAAAGTACCGTCCATCTGCTCCAAGCCCCTGTTGCCCATGCTATCTGTGACACTCATGGTATATGACTTTCAAAGCACTATATTGCCAGCTATTTTTTTTCCAAACATATTGGTAAACTACTCCACATATATTGGGAAGTTCTTCAATTTTTTTTAATGAAATGAAGAAAGAAAAAGTCTTCATACAAACTAGATACCCAATTATTGAGAGTCCTTTCTCTTTCTCACATAATTCCTGTCTAGCCAACCAAGCACAGAGCCATGCACATCACAAACGCAGAATAAATGCTTGCAGACTGACTAGAAAGCAGGACATGATAGTCCCTATGAGGGCATATTATATTATACTCTGTATAAATGAAATCATCATGTACAATACTCACATTAACCCAAACCTTCCAAAACAATCAACCTTACCTCAGGAAGTTAATGAAGGGCACAAAGGAAGAGAGTGTGCTCTCTCTCCACCTAGACAGATGTTTATGTTCTGTATACCACACATGGTGTGTGCAGATCCCAGCTGAGAATTCCTATTATGTGGCCCACCGAGGTGTGTGTGGTTTGAAGCCCTGGTAAGCACTGCGACCTATTTCCCAACCTGGGGGTGGAAAGGTTGACTTATGTATGTGTGGGAACAGAGGCCCACAGAGACATTCACAGTGGGGCCTTGGGAAGGAAAGGAAGAATTTTTTTTTATTCTCTTTCTTTTTCTTCCTTCCCTTCTCTCTACAAACATGATGATCTTCCCCAATATGGAAGCCTATGGATCCCCATTGTACTGCACATTTATTTTAGCATATGTAGTGGTGATTTTTCTTTTAATTAAACCATCACTTAATGATAAAAAAGAATCACACAAAAGTTTCACATTCGGTTTTTCTAAAAAAGCTCTGAAGATCTGTCAACTCCAGGGTAGAGATGAGTAGCAACTGCCCTTACCAGGAAAAGATCATACAAAAATAGCTGACAAATAAAGCAGCATCTTAAAAAAAAAAAAAGTCACAGCATTTAGAAGGAGGAGAAGGAGGCTTTCATTTTGAAGCAGGTGAATCACAGAGTTTGATAAAGAGAAGGCATTGTGGCAGAGCTTTAAAATCTAGATTTGGATACATAGAGAATAGCATGTAGGCAGAAAAGGAAAGCATGAACCGTGTTTGTTCATGCTGGAATTTTGGCTGGAAAAAAAAAATATTCTCACAGTAGAGTCAAGAGAAAAATAGCTTGGGGAGGAAAGAAAAAAATTTGTCAGGTAATTTGAGTGTAAGATAAAAAACTTTACAGATGGTTTTATAAACAGTTAGGAACCATTCAGTTTATTTTTCCTTCTTCCTTCATTCCTTTCATTCTCCCTTTCTTATTTTATATTCTGATATTGATGTATTTTCTGTTTATTTTTATCACTCTCTAGAAATGTCCAGAAGGTAAATGTGTGATATTTATAAGGCTTATACTTACTACACATAACATAGCAAAATAGCTTCTTGTCACTTAAGCCAAATTAATTTCTTTTCAGATACCAGTTCCAAAGCAACAACAGAAGACACCTATCTCTCAGTAGGAACAAAGAGAGAAATGAGGAGCTTGTGTCACATTGTAAGTCACTTCTGTCATGCGGTAATAAAGATAATAAGAAAGATTACTTTTACTTTCATATTTTAGGTCATGAATATTTCTAGTTTTCATTGCTGGGATTCCTAAGTTCTGAACAACATAAACAAAACTTTAGCCAACTTCTCACACCAGACTATGTCCTCCTGCCAGTGAAATGGTCAGGCATATGCAAATGACACTGAAAATGTTACAAGCACCTATGATTAATAAGTATATTTGCCAATTAGGATTAGGAAAAACTGAATCTGTGTCTGTATTTCCTGTTTCTATTTTGTCTTTGTAATTAATCTTAAGGTTGTGTAGTTTCAAATCTGTTATTTATCTGGAGAACAGAGTCATAACAATCTTCTTCTGAAGGTTTCATTTTTCAAATAGATAGATAAAATTTATGACTTTATCTGTCTGGAGCATCCCACATGAGAAATGATTCATCCAGAGTAGACCAGCTAATATGCAGCCACCTGTGCCCCCACAGGTTGTAACTTGGACATCTTTCTAAAGAGAAGGTTCTATAAACTGCCTTTTCAATTCTGTCTGGGACTGAGGCCCCTCAGCTGAAGCCCTGCAGAAAAGTCAAGTATTGTGGTATTAAAATGGGCTTCCCTTACACACAATTCTTGATACTCCTCCTTCTATCAAGAGCAAGGTGTATGTCCCCTGCCTGTTAACATGAAGGCTTGTAACTATTTTGACCAATAGAGCACTGTATCATGTTGCTAAGGGGTAGGCCAAGAAAGGCCATGTAATATTTCTGTTTCATGATGCTGTTGAGATGTTTGCTGTAAGCAAAGTTAGTTTCTATGAATCAGTCCAACTATACCCTGAAATCAAGATGCAGGAAAGGCCACATATATATGCTTAGGATGGATTACACCATCAATGCTGTACTGATTTAGCACAGATTTAGAAAAGCTAACTTTTCATATCTATAAAACCATCTCCTATTCCTTACATTATTGATTCAGCACTAACATATTAATTTGTTTAATGTGGCATCATATTTTCATAAAAGAAGCAGTTATGGAAGGATTCAGTGTAATTTATTGTGGTCCATGCATTCCTAGGTTAAACTCCCATCTCTTAAATTTTCTAATTTTGCAATCTTGTACAATAAATATAACCTCTTACAAACCTCATTTCTCCTATCTAACAAATGAGGATATTGCTGCCCATATCATAGGATTAGGTGACAATTAGATGAGATAATGGGAGTGATTAGCTTTGAGTCATAACAAAAATAGCTACTAGGCCTTGTCCTTTATACACATGTAATCCTAATAATTATCTCATGAAGCATAAAACATTATCATTATTGTAATTGTAAAAATAAGAATGGAAGTACAGAGAAGCTAAGCAAGTTGCATCATATTATCAAATGGTAGAGCCAGGATTTGAATGTAGGCAACCTGGCTGTTTTAATCACAATTAAATTATAACATCTTGAATAGGTAAATCAAATATGGCAGCTATTTTTATTCATCAATAATAAGAGTTCAAGAATGTGGATTCAACTGTAGTGTGTCTGCAGAAACATACACAACTGACTTTCCTTCATTATCTGGAAATATAATATTTATCTATAAAGTGAAAATCAAATTACTAATAGCTAACAAGATGGTCTTAAGTAATTCGAGTTCATTAATAAAATGCTGAAATAGATTGCGTGAAAACAATGCAATTATATGAATCATCAAATTTATGTTTGATATTCTGTTTCAGTAAGCAATTTCAGAGAATATTAGTAAAACTAAAAAAAAATAAACATTTATTTAGCACTTAGTAGCTGAAACACATTACATAGAACATCTTACGTAATGCTAGATAAACTAGGTACAATGTAGTTGAATCATGCACATTTTAACTTACTCAAAATCAAATAAATTTACTCAATAAATAAAAAATTAAAGTGAGACAAAAAAGGAAACAAATAGGGTGAAATGATCTGTCCTATTCCACTCAATGAACATGTGTCCCAAAGGGAACACAATTTTGCAAACTTAAATATATTTTGGCCTTATTTAAATACTTCAGTTCCTTTGTTCACATCTTAACAGCAGTCTAAATATTTTATGCTAATTCCTAAATAAAGAGCTAACAATTAAGGGAAGTTTGATTTATATGTATATATGTATATATGTATATATATATATATTTTTTTTTACCTAAAATACATAAGTCAAATATATAAGTCAAATCCCCTAATGGAATTTTAATAAATAGTTATTTTAGGCCTGGGGTTGTAGCTCAGTGATAAAGTGCTTGCCTAGCACATGTAAGGCTCTGGGTTCGATCCTTAGCACCACATAAAAATAAATAAATAAAATAAAGGTATTGTGTCCATCGACAACTAAAAAAAAAATTCTTTTTATTGTTTTAAAGTATACTGATTTCAACATTACATCTCAATACAGGGTAATTTTTTTAGCAATTTTCAAGGCACAATGCAACCAACAACAAAAAGATGATAAGTAGGTAAAATAGTAATCTGGGAATGGACTATTTCCTTCTGATCATGTATTAGGTCTGACATTTAATTTTAATCTCTTTTTCAAATTTACAAATTCTCACCATGCTATGTAATTAAACTTCTGTAGCATCCCCAGACTTTAGTTTTACATGGCTTTAGCAACTCATTAAAACTAATTTTTAACATACATTCTGCAGATCATGGCTCCGCAAAGAAAAAATGTCAAATGATATTGAGCAGGCCATCAAGAACTTGACTCATTGCAGTACTCTGAGCATATAGATTGATCTCATCCTTCCTCAAATCTCAAAGAAGGCATAAGGAATAGTAACAAGTGGGAGAATGAAATCATAACCCTGTGAGAGAGAAATAAGGCATGGAAGCAGAAGGCAGACTTGGACAACTTTAATGCAGAAAGTTCAGAAGTCTTCAACAGAAGTTGGGGTGGCTCTTCCAGGTAGAATCATAAAAGAATTCCAAACTTTACACTAGGAGGTATGAGTAAAACAATAGGCAATGGGGCAAGTATCAAAGTAATTCTCTTAAAACTGAATATAAAATAACAATATAAGCATCCATCCAACAACCCCTCCCCCCCCCAAAAAAAAATATATATATATAAACACACACACACACATATACACATATACATATAATTTATAAATATGTGTATTTATAAACATTATATATGTATATATATTTATATATAAAAAATGTGAAGGGTTTCTGCAGTATGTAATGGCATTTGAGAGCAAATCTCACCTATAAAAGTATATGGCTATGTTCTGTATTATGAAGTGTATACCACAGAATGCAGCCTTTAATTGAAACACTGCTGAGAACAAAATAAACACCCCTTTTTCATATGCAGAAAGATATTTTGAAGAAAGAGATTTATATATCAAAAAAGCAGAAGCATACAAGCCACCTATATTGATTAATCTAGTCCTGCATTTGTAAACACAAAAAGAAAACCAAAGAACTCCCGACAATTGAGAAGACCAGCTATGCGAAAGAGAAAAGACTCAGAAAAAAAAAAAAAAACTACTAAGGAGGGCAGAATGAAAGACCATTTAGAGGAAAAAATTAAAAATAAAAGCAAGATCGTAATGGCCATTTTCAGAGTAATGTAAAAATATGGTGCAATGAGAAACCAAGAAAAAGCTTTCTGGGGAAAAAAATATAAACAGAAAGAAAAGAAAAAAAATGTTTTAGAAAAATTAAAATACATGACTGTAATTTCTTTCTCTGGCAACATGACAGTAGATACCCTAAAAATCCCCCACATACAAAGTAAGACATTTTTAAAAAAACACTCTAAAGGGTGATGTGTTAAAAACAAGAAAATAAGAGTAACAATCTGACTCCAGCCAGCAGGAGCTACACTTCAATCAGCATAAAGCAGCCATATACCCCCAAGGGCACTTACAAAGACCAAGAGCCCAAGAACCCAGAGCTTTGGAATACCTTGCCATTCAATGACCTGACTAGCATCTACTTCAAATTAAAAATGGACTATGGAAGGGTTGTGCCCTCACAAGAGGAAGGAATCAACATAAAAAAATCAATAAGACAAAAGCAAAAATGCCCCTTGAGGCTGGCAACAAGAAAAATTATTGGTCTTTCTCAGATTATTGGTCAAAAAACCAAAGCCTTTCCATTAAACATGTATTTACTAATTATTCTAATATTGGACTAGGAGCCTAGCATTACATTAGAATATGGTTTCCAAAGCCAAAAACCTGAGTTTTTAATTTAATGGAGCACCTCAGATTCAGGACATTAGCAAAGAAAACATCTTCCTAAAAGGAATGCTTCCTATACTCAAACCTCAAAGAAAAAATTCTCAGAATCATGAAAGATGAGAACTCAAAACAAATTCACTCAAACCTATAGTACACACCAACAATTCTCAAGGAATCAAGTTACCATGAGCAATTACCAGCAAAAATAAAAAGTGAATCAAAGCAGTGTAGTAGTACATAAATAAAATAAAGGATAAAGATAAGTACAAAAGTAGAAATTAATAAAAGATAAACATACAATTCAGAAAAGTAAAATGTGAAAAGTTGATAAGGAAACTAAAACTTTACAGATCTTTGGAAATTTGTTCATTGAAAAGATAAGTTATATGTAAACAACACTAGTAATAAAAATGGGGTTATAACCATAGTACAAAAGAGATTAAAAATAGAAAAAGAGAATACCATAGACATTTTATGTCATCAAATTTCAATGTTAGGATGAAATGGATAGAGTCATGGAAAATAGAATTTATGGAACTGACTCAGAAAGAAAGAAAAATCTATAGTCCTATATTTATTTATGTAATTGAAGCTATTGTGGAAAATACAAATACACATATGGAGTCTTGGATTTTTCACTGGGGAATTCTAGTAAGTGATTACCAGCTAATTCCAATCTTTTACAAAATTTTTCCATCAATTAGTGGAATAAAGAAACCTTCCCTACTCCAAAAATGAGGCTTTTATGTGTGTAATTCAAAACAGATAAG